TACAGAACTACTGACGCAGGCACCAGCAGCTAATTGAATTCATACGTAGGAGCCCTGGACACCATATGGCCTCAATAAAACGTGGCTCCGTAGCTGCTTCTGAGCAGATGGTTGTTCATTTACATAATCTTAAATCAAAAGATCATTTTTATATCTGGAGATCAAAGGCTCCCAAGATCTCCGTGGCTGAAGTTTAGCGAGCGGAGCCCCCGTTGGGGTCGGGCGGGAGCCGCGGGGTCCCATTGGCAGCGGGTCTGTGCCAGGGTGTCTGCAGCAGCCGGGCTGTCCGGGCAGGGACTTCCTCCCCGCTCTGTGGACATAGGGCTTGTGAAGTCAGGAGGGACAACTGTGATTAGGTTGTGTGGCCACTTGCGTTTCCCCAGGTTAACGGGCTCTGCCCGATGTGAACGTCCCATGATGGAAGAGCTCCTTCTTATTCCGCACGACCGGCTGCGAGAGCCCAGCTCTGTATTCCCCCTGGACGGGTCCCTGAGGAGATGGAGGCCACGCAGGGACCAGGCAAGTCTCACTCCTCATCAGCTGCGCTGGAGAAGATAGACGGGGGTGTCCTGTGAGGCTCTGCGTGGGTGCTGCTCTGCAGGATGCAATCTGGAGAGGAGAAGAGTGGGAGATGCCTGCGAGTGGAAAGTACTTCCACACCCACCAAAAAACCTCAGAGATAGACATGATCTTGGCCACCTAAGAATGAAAGACGTGTGGTTACTCAAAGCACCGTACGTACAGGTTACAACAAATGGGCTCCCGGAGCCTGCTGCCCAGCCCAGCTTGCACGGTGGCTATCTGCTTGCTGATGCTGGGTTCTCACCGGCACGAAGGCGTAGCCCAAATGCACCTTCTTGCCTGTGAACCCACACTCCTGGCGTCCCCTTTGCACTTCAAACGCTGATGCATGTGGTTAGTGCTGGTGCCACAATCAGAGGCATCTCTGGGGAGGCTGCGAAGCAGGAGTGAGAACTTCCCCTGCACTGTGCCTGCAAACGTCGCCACCTCCTTCTGGAATATGGAAATAATCCTCCCTGGTAGACGGCAGAGTCCCACCTCGGTTTCCACTCACCTGGAGATGAAAGTGTTCTGGCTGCCAGTGTAGGTGGGGCAAAACTATTTAAAAACCTCATTAGAGAAAGTATTCGGGGAAGACAGCACCGCCCTCAGCTGTGGTTTGTTCCAGTGCTTCTCGGCCAGATCACGCCGATACAAAGGGAAGGGCGTCCTGAGAGACATTCTCCTCGGCTCTTGCTGCTTTGCGTAGCCATGCGTGGGGTGTGCTGTGCTCTCTTCTCTGTTTCGGTGGGTTGTATCCTCCGTGTAAAGGTGGAGATCTGTGCCTGTGGATGCTGTTGGGCGGGGGAAGCTGATGGCAGGGTGGTTTCCATGCTGCTCAGAGACCAGGACTGCTTCCCACTAGAGGAACACAGCCAGCAAACCGCAATGTAACCTTGCCTAGGCACAGTCCACCCTGAATATTTCCTATTCCCTTTAATCCCAGGCATGCTTTTCTCAGCTGAACTTCCAGCAGGAGAGAGGTCTGTGTGTCTGGCCTCCTGCGTTTTCCGGGTGTCCCCTTAGTCCAAGGGACTTGTAACCAGCATCAAGCTGAGTGTGCCGAGAACTGGTGCAGTCGGTCACCTGCACGCCCTGCACAGCCCCGCTCACTCGGAACCCTGCAGTTGGGCATCAAGGTCTTATCCCCCACAAGTGATGTTTCCTGAGGAACAGGAGCCGTGGGTACCAAGAAGTCACCCACATACAGCATCATGTGAGGTTGCAAAACCAGACTTGGGGAAGCAAGACCATGCGAAGGACAAGGGCTCGTTCCCCTTTGGTAGCAGTGGCAGGAGGTGACAGCATCACGCTGGGGTCTGCTCTGCTCCCCCATAGCATCTCAAATACCCCTATGGGCCACCCCAAGCAGCCTTTCCCCTGCGATTGCTGCTAGCAACACAGGCAGCCTGAGCTGAGCCCCTGCGCCGCTCGAGAGCCCTTTCTGTGTCGAGAGTGCACAAACATCGTCCAGCAGCGCTGAGGTTCAGGGGCCAAGGTCTAAACTGTCACTATCCTGACGTGACCTGGGAGAGCGACACACTGCAGATTGCTCCAGCTTTCTGGTTTTCATTATTCTTAGGGAGTAACTTTTTGAGTGCAGGAAGTTCAGAGCACTTTCTAACATCAATGTCTGGCTCGGCCATAACACGTTCTGGCCCTGCAGCTCTTCCCAGGCTCTGAGCTCCCGCGGGGCCGACCCTTCCTGGATACACGAATGCCAATGGGACGTGACCGCCGCTCACACTGGAAGGTGACGCTTCCCAAGCCGCAGGTCTCAAAGCACCGTGCCTTGCTCTGCACGCTTGCAGAGCATCACGCTTGCTGCGTTTCACAGAGGAAAGCTGAGGCGCGGGGACATCTGATGAGGCCTCCCCGCTGACTCACTGTTTGATGTTCGCCCGGGGCTGCCAGCGCGCCGGGGACACTGCAGCGCCCGCGTGGGCGACGCCAGCGCCACGGCCAGGGCACGTGACGTCTCCGTGGAAATGGCTCTTCCACCTGTAACCGGAGACGGAGGTTCAAGGTCCTGCTGGGGCTGGCGCAGCCGGAGAGCAGCGCGGCCGGGAGCGCGCGGCGCTGCCGGCAGCCCTTTCCCACGCCACGGTGCAAACACCCACGGAGAGCTGCTTAAACGGCGCAAGCTCCTCAGCATCAGGAGGCAGATGTCACGGCAAAGTGCTCGTGTTTTAATAAACAAAACATGGAATTGGGCTGAAGTCTCTCATTAGGAATTGTAACATCCACACATTTTGCCACTTCCAAATAATTTCCACCTACGTCTTCCTCCCACTGCCACACAGCGCTGGCCAACATCCCCATGCAGAGGGGAATGGCCTCTTGTGAGCAGGCGCCAGGCGCGTCTCACTCAGCCCTGCAGCCCTCCTGCGCCGGCACCAGGCCGGGACCCCACGAGCACAATTGTCCTTGCTACAATTCCCCCATGTTTCATCCCAACAAAACCCACTGCAGCCTAAAATAAGCTAATTAAGCGGCAGTCAGTGTGTTTCAGCGGTGCTGCATCCCAACGTTGTGCAGGGCT